AAAAAAAAAAACAGATGAACAGAATAAATGAATCAGTAGGGAAAAATGAAAAAACATTAAAAAAAGTAGCTACTGAATCAACAACCTTTTAATCAATTCTTCAAAGCGCTGTTTTGAATAAAGTCGATACTTTTGAATAAGCTCAAATGCTTCTATACAGGAATCATCTTTATAAACGGCTCCTTGTAAACAAGAGAATGCTGCACGACGATTCTGAGTCATCAAATAAGCTTTTCCTAACAAAAGCAATAGTCCTGCTTCTATCTAAATATTGACAATTAGAAAGAATTTGAAGCCAACCATCATGGTGCAAGAGATACATCAAAAACATTCCTGAAAAGCTTCCCAATTTCACAGAATTTCAATCAAAAATGGAAACATTGATCATGCAACAGTGTTAATCTCGACAACTATTACCTTCAAATCTTCTGATATTTTATCAAGCGCAGTTATTTCTTCAGAACTTGGGACGAAAGACTTCGGTTTGGAGAGTTGAACCATATGAGGCATAACGGAAAAAACGAGATCATGATATCGATCCTTCAAAAATACAGAATTCTTAACTGTACATTCAAAACTCCCGTGATGAGAAACCAACATTTCTTCATTCCCGAGAATTGATTCGTTTTACAAGATAATGCCGCAAAAATGTAAACGTTTAAAGAGACAACAAATATGGAGATGGAAAATGGCTTACCCCAGTACCTAGTTTTAATTTGAGTATGTCGATAAATAGTTTTTTCTGTAAAGTGCATTTACATAAAAATAAGCGAAGAACATGTGTTTCATAATAAGCTCATGACGATCACAGTAAGCCATCAAACGTGTCCATTCTCCAGCAGCTGCTAAAACCTTCAAAAAAGAGAAAAAAAAGGTAAGACTAAAAATTCTACATTTCCATGAAATTTGAATAAAAAATCACTACACTTAACTTAGTTCGTCAACTACCAAACAGCAAGTTCTAAGATTTGTTAAAAGCTGTAATCATGCCTTCTATTATCATTCAAAGTTTCAAATGCAATTTAAAACTCAAACAATTTGCTTATAATCTTAGCGAGATATGCTTATCTGAGCTCCCGATTTACCTAGCATAGAGAACGAAATACAAATTTCAGATACATTACGCCAAGCGCATTACGAAGTGCTCTATTTGTACTCCGAGATGGAAAGCAGGAAAAGTTAATATCAAAAGAATGGAACTCAATACTAAAAGAATATATGTCACAAAATTTAGAAAAAGTGTGAGTAAACTAAACAAATATTTAAACCAAAACTTTTCACAAACTTTGATAAACCGAGCCATATCAACGAATGATGGTTGGGATCCATTCTTCCGACACAGTGCTAATCGTTTGTCCGCCCAAAACAATGCCGTTTTATATTGCGTGCTTGCTAAGTACCTCTGAATTAGGCTATCAATTTCGCTAAATCCGCAATTTCCATCACTTGTTAAGAGTGCCTGCGAAGGAACATCCAGTGGTGCTGAGAGCGCAGAACTGAGAAAAAAAATCAGGGCAGTGAATTACCAGTTAAACAACATTAATCAGCGATGTTACTTTTCAATATCCTAAACATTTGACTCTTTAAGGAAAATCTTATAATAAAGATGAGTGCATATTGTAGAACAACGGTCAACAAACATTACATAAAGTAATACATATTTGCATGTCCAAATATACATTAGGACAAGCAAATATATATTAATCTAAATACTATGGTAGCATATAACAATAGTGTGCAAAACGCATTCAATTTACTAACACACATAGATTTTCTGATTTCACAGAACCTGATTCCCCTCATTTTTCCATCAAGCTTAAAATTTGACGCCTCCTCACTAGGTAGTGACCAATAAATGGATACAACACTTCGGTTGATCACATAGACATGTGATACCATAACACTTCTTTAATGGAATCAAATAGTGTGACGTAAAACGAGAAGTATGCCAAAGAAAAAAAAATTGTACGTAAAGTGAACAAATAAGCTTACGTGCTACTCGTCGGTAATGACGTGGGTGTACGTGCGAGATCTTCAATGGTCGATTCGCGCGTAGGTATGGGTCGCTGTTTTATCGCACTTCTACCTACCATTTCATCCAAGTGCTACAATGACCACTGATTAAACGTTCACGAGAAGTATAAACTGATAGAGTTCAAAGCTTCAAATTTTTGAAACAGAAATTTTTTGTCAAAAACATCGCAAAGACCACTCAAGCCTCCTATCTTTAGACTAAAGCAGTTAATGATAACTCCCACGATACCAGATACAGTTCTGATAAACAACTAAAAGACTTCAAACCTGAACAAAAATCTTTGCAATAATATGAGACCAAGTGTCGGTGTGAGAAGATGATTTCATTTGTGCCACCACGCATTGAACCCCTAATTTTTCTTGATCCGGGACAAATCTGCGTTTTTGATTTGTAACAGGGAGTACAGGGTTCGGGGATAATTAAATTATGTGAATCCCGAAATAATTTTTGATCAAAACTTTGGACATATTAATTGAACTCAGAGTAGCATTGTGATATCAAGGGGAAAGAACATATTTCTTAATAGCCCTCACGGATCACCGATTGTAAACCAGTAAATTCTGCATGGTTGAAGGAATGGTCCGGCACGAGAATCCTCGGGTCAGGGGTTTATTGAACATGAAATCTATAGACCTAAACCATGATTTCAGATGGAAGTGTACTCAGTGCTTCGTCAGTCTTAATTTACCATCAGTAGTACTCTGCGTCTGTGTATTATCAGCATCTCCACAGCTACGCATTTACCGATTTTCTAGCATCATAAGTTACTCGTTAACCTTCTTGACAGTAAAAAAGTTTCACGGTGCTACCATCTCTTCCTTCTTTTGCATTTCTGTATTGTTGGACTGACTTTATTCATTTACACCAAAAACGGACGAATAAAGGGACGAAAAATCAACAAACAAACCGGATGTTTTGAGTCCCAAAGTGCACTAACTGAAATGTATGGGGACGATGATATGTAAACTAAATATTTCAACTTGTCATTACAAAAAAAGATAACGATGAATAAAACGGGGAACAGCATTGCAGACCTCGACATATAGAACATCTCGATGCCTATACAAGAAAAACAAACATAATAGCGGGATACATTTACTTTGAAATGTTTCTATCTCCATCCCGGATATATGTGATTCAAAAATGCAAGACTTAATTTTTGTTCTGATCAACAAAATTAGGTCACAGCACCAATGATTAGCATGACTTCTGATCAATTCTTAAAAAAATGCAGTGTCTCTCTGAACAAGCAAAATGTAGGAACTCGGGCTAGCAATGATACAAAAAATTATATCGGTTTCTCATGGTTTTTTGTAGAAAACAGAGTTCGGCCTAGTGTGTAGACACCCTATTTTTGTAACGTTTACCCACAAAAATGATCAGAAAAAGTACTTCACATAAACATCGTCAGAAACAGTCAGAAGAAAACTCATATTGAAGTGAACCCCCAAACTTGGAAATATGGAGAAATGGGTTTAAACCACCTTATCCTGAACCCCTGAGGGCTAAAGCATTCACAACAGCTATTTTAAGAAAAGATTTGGGTGCGCTGAAAGCAACTATGAAGGGGAACATCTTTGACCACTACTGTTGCAGCTTACAACTGATTTTGGAGAAGCAGTACAATCCATGGTAAAATTCGGAAGAATTTCCAGATCGCTGGCGATTTCCAATTTATCTTCGTAACTTAATGGTAGATTTTCAGTTTCAGTACCTTCGTAGCCGTAGATTAATTTGAAAACGTATTTGGAAACTACTGTTGCAGCAAGTCTGGAACGTGTTTGATTTGAACATTACGGACATGGGAGATCGAAAGAAAATCTGAAAGCTTATCAATCTCAAAATTTGATAAATCCTATACCAACCTCTGCAAAGGATTAGTTACGGGCATTGCGACCAACCGCAACTCAAGCGAATGCGCCCATTCGATGATTTCTTTCACCTGCAATAATGTAATCGAAGGTAATCAAAGCAGTAATGTACTTAAAGGTAATGAAAAAACTACCAGAAATCGCTGATCAATATAACTTCAATTGAATATCATTTGAATTCAGAATCAGATGTTTTAATAGCGACTGAAACATACCTGTTCATCACTTCCAATTTCCTCCAGCCTTTTTTTAATTTGATGAAAATCGGTAAAAATCTGTCCTCCTGGACCCCATGCCGGTATTCTATCACTCACCTCCTCAAATAAACCACCGAGTTCACCCAGACATTCGTAATTATCTATAAAGCAACTCGGTGAGTAGCATGTGGATTCAATTTATTAATCCCAAAAAATGTTTGCGCACAGTCCCCTGGCGCAATCTATTACACTTTGACTCCTAATAGCTAATTTTTGTGTTTTTAAAAAAATTTTCTCCTCACTTTTAAAGCCACTACACCTGAAATAAAATGGAAAGTCGACCAATAAAGAAATCCTTTGTTTTGCATAAGAAACATTTGAAAAAATACCTGATATAATCATGTTAGGCGCAACTTTTTCGAAGAAAATAGAATGTGCTTCATCAAGCATGCCACCTTGCAAAGCGTATAAACACATTTTAGTCTCGTCACCTTCCAATTTCGCCCGCATATATCCGAAATAACATAAGATCATGAGGAACAGATTACATAAGATCATGAGGAACAGATTACGGAAATCAAAAACCTATGCGGTATCCAACAATAAAAAACGATTGGCGAATCAAAAAACCTACCTTGATCGAGCAATAATACAATCTGGTAAACGCGCTACTGTTGACAGTTTGATGTAAGTTTCCTCATTAGCCTTATCCGCGATTCGATCCCCAAGTTCGATCAGAGCATCATTTCGACTAACAGTTTCAAAATATTTTGCATCAGAATTATAATTAATGAGAAAATATAGGGAATGGTGTTCAATATGTGTCTTTGAACTTATCAAAAAAACTGTTATCAGCGATAGATTTATCAATAAGTTTTGACATTGGAAGTTTTACAGATAAAACGTACCTCTGCAAACTAGAAATATGCATCAATACAACTGCAGCGAGATCGTACAACTCCATTTGACAAAGTTGCTCAGCGAATCGAATATGAAGTGCATATTCAGCAGATTCTGAGGGATGTCCAAATTTCAAAATTCGTAAGATAAACCACAAATGCCAGCTGCAAACATTTCTTTACAATAGAAAGGAGAATTTTGCGAAAGAAAAGACAAGAAAAATAAAGGAATTCTTTTAAAAGCTTAGTTTTTAGCCTACCATGTGAAGATGGGCTAATTAATCAATCAAATAACTAAACCTGAAGTAAGGGTTACTATGATTTACTGCAAGTCCTTGATCCTAACTCTTATTCTGTCTGTCTATCCCGTTCTGTTGATAATTTCCGGAACAAATTAGGAATAACATCATAAACAGAATAAAAAGTTCGTTTTTCTCTTTCTCAAAATGAAGAAATTTTGACGTTTCCCTATTTTTTCTTTTATTTTCTTCTCTTTGTCTTTCTATCAATTTTGCATCGGTGGAAAGGCCTAAGACCAAATTATTGAAACGAAAGTGTAGAACAAAGAACAGTCAATCTATTCTTGAAACTCAAAGTATAATAATCAGCACAGACCATAAATGATAGTCCATGGGATGTAGAGAGGTGCAGCCAGGTTCTAAAATAGCTTCCATAGGCTGACTGGGATCACAAGCCAACTGAATCAACTTATAAAAAACATTGCACTTCAACGTATGTTCTGCCTCTCGCGCCTTCAAATCGTTTTCGAAAGCGTGCAAAACATATTTTAACGAGGCATCGAATGGGTCAAAATATGAAACGAATGTGCATAACGCCTACAATAAAGAACATTTTTTTGCATATTACAAAAAAGTAAACAGTAGAAAAAAACAACAGTTATTCAACGACCAAATTAAGTACGTTTCTGACATTGAAATTTGCTATTATCTGCCTTTGTAATTTCTAATCTAGTGAAAATTTTAAATAAGTCTTGAATTTAGTAAAAAACAAGACGTATGGATAGAAAAACTAAAAATTTAAAAATCTACCAGCTAACTTACTTGTAATCCACCCAAACCATCATTTACAAAGATCATTCTGCCATTTATTTCAGCTTGCATTTCTCCAGCCATCAAAAGATAAATTTTCAGCAGATTCTCGTCGATAAATTTACACTCCTTTGTTCCCTTCCAATGTTCAATCTGAAACGAAGAATGATGCTAAGGGTTTTTAGACAGAAATAAAGAGTTATAGTGCACGACTGCTGATATTGTTAATTGTCAGTTATTAAATACTAATGTAAAGAAACTGTGTTTCATTTTCAGTAAACTCATATTATCTGTCGATTTAATTTTGATGCTGGAAAAAATTCTGCGCAAAAAATGGACAATTTCTAAAAAAATAAGTCTATTACAACCACAACCAAATGTAAACCTGGTTTTTATAAGCTGCTCTGTCGGTATGCTTAAATAATGAAAGCCCGAAAGCAAGATGAGGATGATTACTCTCGATAGCTTCCTCTACTGCAGCTTTCAAATCACCGATCAGCATTAAGTGAAGAATTTTAGCAGGACCCGATGATGGTAGCTTTTCATGTCGTTCAATAGTTGCTAAATATTTTTGTAGCCAATTAGCGACCTCTTCACGACGACAGAGCATTCTCGTGTAATTGGTGCAAGCTGAAAATAATGCAGAATGTATTTAGATAATTTGAAAATAGTGATTTTTAGATTTCATAAGTTTGCACCGTTCGGCGAATGAAAATGCAGGATGAGAAAGAAAACGCGATATCAGTTTAAAATCAAAGAGACAATAATAAGAATGAAATACCTGCAATTTGAGGGCCAAAAAGGGCATCACATAATTCCAAAACATTCGAATCATGTGTCATACCGCTAAATCTCGATGCCGCCAAAGAACAACTTATTAAATCAGGAAACTCCTAATAAACAATCTTAGCATGACATGGCCTATGTGTTTCGCATTAATTCAAGTTCAAAACTCAGTAAGCTATTTTTAAGGAACCACCAGACATTTATTAAAATATTAAAACAAAAGAAAAATTGAAAGATTTTATTACGAAGAAATTCAAGCATTCGAAAAAAAGTTCAAAAAATTAGCTTACCCCAACTGGCTTTCTTTGTGGAACACTCTGGAAAATCAGATTGTCGGTATCCGCATTACTCACTATTTTACTCATCGAGTCGATTTTTCGGAAGAGATCAATAATATATTCCTACAGTAAGTCAAAACAATAACTGAACTCATATAAATAAAAACCGAATCTTTTCTTGCAAAGCAAGAAAATAGGGACAAAAACTCGATATTTCATGATTAATGCTATAATAACAGAAAATTTAAATTAAAAAAAAATTACTGTAGGAACTTGATCGACACACTGAAGTTTAACACATCGGACTGATAATGAATTTGGAAGGTCACTCATCCAATGTACTCGTCCTGCAAAAGAGGAATCTCATCCTTAAAATCAGATTTTCAAGTTTATTCGCGATATTGTATCATGTTGAGAAGGAATATCTGAGTGGACCCCATAATGCAGTAATGCACTCTCAAAGTAACAAGGGATAAATGCCAGTTTGTGAGGTTTGAGCAAGAAGCTCGCTCAAAAGTATAGAACCGATCCATGAAAGATTCCTGAGTTTTAGACAGCATTATCAGCGACTGAATTAAACAATTGATTGCCAACACCTCGTCATGGAGATCAAAGTACATTTTGCATAAACAATAATCCAGAAAACGGAGTTCCAACTTTTTTTTTAAAAAGGTCATATCTGTGCAGCATAAAAATAAAACTTTTCCACTCTTGGATTTATCAATAACGACCATTTCAAGTCTTTGATTACATGACCCGATTAATTCCAAGTCCAGAAAAAAATTAACTAACCATGATTCCAACTCACACGTCCACATCTCCCATTCATTAATGAGCCGTCTATAAATGTACCAGTTCTTTCGGCTATTTTCATGACTACTTGTTCACCCTCTTTAAAATAACTTTTTATTTCATTAACCGGATCAATGAGATAAATTTGCGACTGCTCCGTGCTATCGTCTTGTTCTTCTACATCAATCATCATAGAATCACCCAACAAACCATCTACAAAATCAAGGTCTTTCTGAATTTGAAATCCCTTTCAATATAAGCAGCTGTCAGTTGAGACGTTAAATCGTAAGTCGAAACTGCACGATATAATAATTTTACGATTCTTTGAACATTGTTGTGATAAATTACTGACAGTGCATTACAAACATTGTAAATGGATGTAATCGAGATGAAATTAGGACGAAACCAAAACAAACCCAGAACTGCTTTATTATCACAAAGTTCCACTTTATGTTGCGTTTCTAACACCACGCTTGGTCGAATAGAGTCATGCACAATATTTGTATCAAAAAAAGCATCCTGCTCAGGAAATAATTTTCCATAACCTAAATTTTTGAACTGAAAAGAATCAGTAGAAAGATGAATTATTACTATGAATAAAAGATGAAGAAAAAAATGTTGTACCGTTGATTCCACCCAATCCACGTACAAAAAACATTGAATCAATTTGTTTCAACTCTTGCTGATGGTCCTGAAAGCATAACATGCAGCTTTGTGCTAATCATATAGCTTATCATAAGGAAAGATAATTGCTAAAAATGAATCAAATTTGAAAATTAGTAAGTGAAACACTTTCAGCTTTTTTAACAAACATTAACAACGGTATCAAATATCATTTGATGAATGGTACGTTTTAGGCCGAGGTACTTTTCATATTTCGTTAAATGAAGGTTTTACAGAGAAATTTTCTTTCATGAAAAACAAAGCAACGAACAAATTATTACAAGTTGAATCAAAATAAATCGAGGAAAAGTTGCCATCTCTATTTTGTGGTTTTTAAAATTGTTTAACTCACTTGAAACCTATCAGCTGTAGAATCACTTGTTGCCGCTGAGTTGACAATGTCATCTTCATGAGCAACTTTCAGCTTCGGTAATTTGGCACGTTGCACAGCATTTTGGATTCTGCTGGCTTTGAAGGCCATCTTCAACTGTACCTCATCGAGCATATCATCGTCATCATCATCCTAAAAAATTCGGGACATTTTAAATTTATATTTAAATTGGAGGCAAATCTAATTTATAAAAAAATCATGCTTTTCTTATAATCAAGTCCAACTGAAGAAATGAATCGATGAAAACAAAAATTACAATTGTAAGGGACACCAGTATATAACCACTCAAAGAATATCGGTTACTACTGAAAAAACGAAATTAACCGTCAGTCCGTATTTGGTAAAGTGTGGCACTGCGAAAACCCAAGTGCCTGTTTCAGGACGATAATCTTTGAATTTTGCTCCCATTTTTAACGAAGCACGTTCCAGTTTCGCCCGATAGCCCAATTCTTCTAGCCTGAGAGGATCCTCAAAAACAACCTTAATGATTTATGATTGCTGAAAGTTGGATTCTAAGAAACAAATTCTGACATTTTCTGTATGCAACAACATCAAATGACGATAGTTAGAACAAACCGTGATATATTCCTTGGTTTTTTTATCTCGAGGCCAAACTCTGTCCAAACTAACTTCTGCAAATCGATTTAATTCTTGCCCAACTGGTGGTTTCGCATTATCATCAGGATATACAATCACTTCATGCTGACGAAAATGTACTACCTGGAACAAAGCTGACGTTAACGCGAAGGAAGGTATTTCCTAACTAAAAAGTTTCAAAACACCAAATATTTGAAAGGATGAAAAATTGCCCCAAAGTAAAAGAAAAAATTGTCAATCTACTCAGAAGTAACAAAAAATCAAAACCTTATCCAAATTAACATTGCACAAATCGAATGGCCCCGGCCAGAAAACACTTCCGAAAGCAAGTCGGCGTATCGTAAAGCCACTTACAATATGACAGACACCATTATTCTCCAGCGCCATTTCTGCAAGTTGATCCAGCGATGGTTCGCATTCATAATCCCGCCTGTAATAATTGAAATCCTCAGCTGTCAACGAAGAGTGACTCCATTTTTTTTTGAGCATACAAGCAGACCAATAGTAACACGGGATTGTTGCATTTTAAAAGTAGAAGTTTTAGAATGCTGTCCATCTACTGGTATTTGAAATTCCACTGAAAGATTCAAGATGTTGCTATCTCTAAAAACAAACAAAAGAAATCACCTACCTTGTTAAAATTATACCTGCTGGATGAACGCTATGCACAGCAATATTTTCAGGAAAGGTATTAACTACACTATTAGTTATATTCTGTGAATTACTGGTACTTTCATTCTCGGAATACACCTGAATTGGTATTTTATAAAAATGATTATTCTCGTTCTACAGCAATTCGTTGGGTCAAACATTTACCAAATGACTGGTCTCATTTATCTACTTCTGAAAAATTTTATATATTCTATATGTACATATAAATTTTATATGTACGATATTTTATGACCATCAGCGGCATGTTGTTTAGTTTGGAATAAACAAAAAGAAAGGAAAGATTTTAAGACCACAGTAAGTACTGAGACCTGCTTCCAGTGTAAGTTAACAGCTAATATTAATCGACATGTCACTAAATGACTTCACAACTACATTCTGTCAGAAAGATTATTAGTTTTGAGGTTGAAGAAGAATATGCATTATTAAGAGACTAGGCAATCCTGAAAACCAATAAATAAGTGTTATTAATATAATTAAAATAAACCAATGGTGAGGAAACTTCAGCAGATTGTCGCAGGGCAGATTGAGGACTAGCAGGTTGTCGCCCTTCTTCAATTGCTACTTTGTCAGCTAAACTTTTCGAAGGTGGCAATATGAATGAAACGCCTGTTCTTCGTCCCGTCGTTGTTAACTCGGCAGTAACTGATCGCTACAAGTTTTCAAGGATATTGGAATACGTAAATCTTGATTTCATTTTTTTTTTTGATTTGTAACGTGTCAAAACAAACACTTACAGCATCTTCCTTTGAAACTATACCAATTCGTGTATTATCAGCTGCTTCATTATCTCCACCAATCTGTGCTGCTGATAAAAGCGACGAATTTACTGAATTGGTAGAATTCCGTCGATTCTCTTGCTATAAATAGTTCGACTCCCTTATTCTTCAAGTAATTATCGATTTTTGGATTTGGAAATCAATTATGTCCTTTATGAGTCTGAGATACTAATGACGATCGACGTGACATATAACCAAGGAATGAAAAGATTATTGAATTTTTTCAAATTTAATTTGGTACCATATATTTATGAAGGACACTGAGATCAAGCCGTTTAACATTGGAGTTATATTTTGATTTCGATGACTGGCTAGTATTCATCCCCAGAAAGCTTGAAGGATCTATCGATGAAGAAGAACCATTGGCACCACACGATCTGAAACATAATGTTTTGAGAAATTCGAAAATTCATTAATTCCAATTCAAATGAAAAAGAAATATTCCAATTTGTTAATTAACGGGACCTAAATACTTCATTATCCAAATGATACAAAAAGAACTCTCATTAACCATCGCTATAAAGAATTTATTTTAGACTGCCATAACAAGAAAAAACATACCGATTAACGGCACTATCAAGATTCAATGATGTGTTCTTCTTATTACTTCCTCTAAGGCCAGGTGGCAAAAACATGGAGTGATATGTAAAATCCCCAATACTATCTCGGGACTTGGAAGCCGAAGGTCTGATACGTGATGCAGCAGCCGGTATTGAACCCAATACAAGTGGTCCACTCGGTGTTGTTGTCGTCACCGCACCTGCATCTTTCTTTGAAGCCAGAAATCGAATTTGTCGCTCTATGCTACAAGTATAATGATTAATGAAAAAAGTTTTAGAAAACTTCTACGAAGTAACTGAAAATAAAGAAGAAGAATGTGAAAAAAGCCCTCTACAAAAATTTAGACACTTCAATCTAACCTGACCGGATTAGGAATATTGAATTTCTATATGAAAGTAGTTTTCAAAGAACACAGACAAGAAAACTACCGATAATCAGTTTGTAACATACAGTTAAGCATGGCTGAGCAAACACTGAAAGGTCCGAGAGAAGATAAGGAAAAAAAAAGACAGAATACGTTAAAACAGAACACGTAGTCCTGTTAACAAATATCAAGAAATAGAAGGGAAAAGTATAAACAGTTCCATCTAACCTGACTGGATTAGGAATATTGGATTTCTCTTGTGATTCGGTCGTTAAAAGTTTTAACAACGGATTGTCACCGTAAGGACTTGCTGCTAACTGCGCTTCGATTACTGCTTTTTCAATTTGCCATTGATTAAAATCAGCTCCCAAAACAATGGGTGCTGCTGATGATACATTACCACCTGCTACTTGTTGAGTGGAACCAAAAACTGGAAAACATCAAAAACTTCACTCTCCGATTTAATTTGGGCTTTTCTATGATTTCGAATAAGAAGAAAAACTTTGTATATGGATATGATTCTCACCAGGCTGCGTCGAAGTAGAGCCAAATAAAGAATTAGTTGGTTTCGCTGCAGATGAACCGAATAATGATGGGGTTGAAGAAGGGGCGGGTTGTCCGAAAAGACTTCCTAAATGATAAGAATTACTAAGCAATGAAAAATTAGAAAACTGAAAGAAAACTTCGATTATACAACACAACAATTTATTCCCAACTTATACACCATTTTGTATTACAAATTACCTGTACTCGAGCCAAACAATCCACTAGTAGCTGGTTTAGAGCCAAAAAGTCCACCTGTTGATTGGGCACCTGAAAAACAATCAAATTTTTTCTAACAATTGACCCCTTATAGAAAATGAAAAGAAATTTAAAGTCTCCAAATTTATCTAAGAATTTCAACAGCAACTTTCAACATGTACCAAAAGGTGAAGCTGTGGACGTGGATGGACCAAAAGCACCAAAGCCAGAAGGAGACGGTTTAGCACCAAAAAGGCTTGTCGAAGTAGTTGAAGTTGCAGGTTGCTAAAAACCATTGAATGATGAATTGTCAAAAATAAATTGATGATACGTTGAATAGAAGCAAATAATACAAATGAAATTTTTTTTAAGAAATTACTAGATGAAGCTAACAGCACCTTACCGCAAACTGAAAGGATGGAACACCGGTATTAACTGCTAAATAAACATCAGTATGTGATAATTGTATCAAAAGCACGATCATATTAGTATAAATAACAATTCTAAAACAACAGCAATAATTGTTTTCTCACCGTGCTGTTGCCAAATGTAAATGGGCTTGAGGAGGATGAAGCAGTGCTGAAAGCTGGTCCACCAAAAAGTGACGAACTTTGAGTACCGAAACCCTGAAATTACCTGAATACAATTCTTATGTCGAAATAAAAATGAAATAAACAACGAAATAAAACGAAAATCAAACTTCGGAACATAAAAGAAAAAGAATAAAAGAAATAGAAGATGTATAAATATACAATCAAAGTTCTATTAAGTAACTGCCATACTCCGCTCTGTTATGATTACATTTAGCTTGTGGCTAGTCTTGAGAAAGTTTTCAAGAAGACATGAAATAAAATTACAAATAAGAATGCTAAAACTATATTTAGAGCTTATAAACTAAAATTAATGAATGATAAATGGAACAAAATGGAACTTCGACGAATAAACGAACAGATCTTTAACAATATACTGTTTTAAAAATCTTTATTGGGAAGGGGGGGGGGGAGGGAAATCAGGAGAAACAAATGTTCGTAGTATTCAGTTAAATCCTTTACGTGACATAAGACTACAATGGTTCTGGAACAGGATGAGTACGCCGGTCATGCTGAGATACCAAAAACAACTGAAATATTACCTATTTGTTTTGCACCTTGGATAGAATTATCGTTTCTAATAGAGCAACTGTCATAGTTAAAACAGCCTTCTTATTAACGAAAGCAAACTAAAAGTAGTGAAAAAAATACAAGATAACACAGATTAAAAGCAAATGAATCAAACCGTCGATGGTTTAGTGCCAAATAATCCTGTGCTAGTCTGAGTCTGCCCAAACGGTGATGCTGTAGTCGAACCAAACAATCCTCCACTAGCTGGTTTACTGCCGAAGATCGATGTAGTGGTTGTTGGGGTCCCAAACAACAAAGATGAGGTTGTGGTTGTAGCGCCAAAACTAGTTGAGGCTAAAAAAAAGTTTGTAATGAACTATCACTAAAATAAAATCGTTTATGATCCAAATTTGCTTAGCTTGAGCATTACGTACCTAATCAACTGACGAAGAATATAAAAGTGGTTCTCTCGATGTAACATGGAATTTTATTAAGCTCGTTAAACATTTAAAATAAATAAAGCATTAACTACCGAATGCTAATAAAAATGTTAATTAAAATGTAAACCGAATTAATAGAAATAAATGGACTCACTGCTTCCAAACAGCGGTTTATTTTGACCAAAAATTGAAGACTGCGTTGTATTTGTACTAGAACCAAATAACGAGGAAGATGGTTGCGAAGTCTGACCGAATACCAAACCGCCACTCTGAGGACCTTTTCTGTTTGCCAAGTAATCATCACATCTCAGCTCCTATGTAAATTGTAAATCGAAATGTTTAATTTTTAGTTATTTCATTTTGTTTATTCTGCAAAATAGATATGGATATTATACTGAAGAATCCTACGTATGTTTTGAAATCAGTGAGATGATGTTGGTAAAATGAAAAGAATGAACAGATCGTGGCAAAAGTATCATCATTAGCGGTTAAAACTTGAAATATCTAAAACACAGACCTCTAAACTCTTGTTTTCATATTGTTTCATGGCAGTGATACACATATGCTTCGTGCTGATCGTTTGGTTTGTACCATTACGAAGCATAGTATCTGTGGATGTGGGAGGTTCGAATTTAACAGTTGTACCCGATATAGTTGATGCTGGAATATTTCATTTCTAGCAACTTTTCACGAATAAAAAAATGCCATGGTTTTTTCGGCTCTTGAAGCTTAGAATTAAATAATTTTAGCGCGAAAAGGGGAAAAGCCTACAAAGAAGGTCTGTAAAGACCTAAAATCCCATACTTCCAAAACCTGATCCGAAAACACCACCAGTTTGTTGTGCCGACTGAGCTGAACCAAACAGTGATGTGGTACCACCGAAACTTGTTGGTTGCGTTGTCGACGATGCACCAAAAAGTGGTTTTGACTGACCAAATATTGATGTTGAAGCAGAGGAGGTTGGCTGCGTACTTCCTAGAATAGGACACCATCTCATTGCATATACGATTTAAGCTTAATTTTACTTCGTAACCTCAAAACTTCTCGCTTTTGATGTCAATGAAGCAGTCAAACCGAAAAGTGATGTCGACTGTCCGGGAGAACCAAAAATAGATTTTTGTCCGAATAAACCCGTGCTCTGCGTGGTCGTTTGCGTGCCAAATCCTGTTGGTGGTCGATTGGCGGACGATCCAAACAATGAGCTACTTGCTACAACAGAAATATTGAAATGTTACAATATTAATGCCACAATACAGGGATCTCTCTTGAAACTCGCTTCAGAAAAAAGAGAAAATAATGTGCTCAATAAAAAAGCGGAATTAACAAAGTTGAAGAGTGGTAAAGTATTAGCAGAAAATTACTGCTAAGTGGTAAACAGAAAGGAACAGAAGTAAAGAGTAAATGAAAGAAAATATTGCGGTAATATAGGCAAGCTTTATTCTACTGGTGCCACCATAAGAGGCACTATCCTCACGTTTTATAGTGGATCGAAGTCTCCCTGCTTTCTCCGGATAGGGTAACGACAAGAAGCTTCCATAGGAAGACAAAATCTCGGAAATCGAATAGAACTTACCACCAAAGGCAGATGTATTGGATGAACTGAAAGGCGATTTTCCAAACATTTCGAACTGAACGAATACTGCACACTGGAAATAAACAGACCTGAAAAGACATTGTTTGCAAAGCAGTTAAATCCAGTGACCTTTAACCTAACGGGAAAGACAAGGATCACCCAAACGATGCCCACTCGCATCTTAGACCTCTCAAATATTAACCACAAAGTGAAAATATGAAATCTTGGCAGAGTGCCAAAATTGACTCTTCGCGCCAATTTAAATAAGTATTAAATGGTTGATTGCCTTGTAGCCAATAGTGAGAGACGTTCATAACCCTTACCGCCACGCTCTGTGCTCTCAATGAGCTAGCCATTTCGGTTTACCTTATTAGAATATTCCCGGTTGTACCTGTTTCTATCCGGAATATATCTGGAGATATCAGAATTGGTATGAATTTCGTAGAGTTATTTTAACCTTTTTTGTATTAATTTCAGCAAAATACAATGCGACTATTTATGAATTAGGCGTACTTGCAATTAATACCAAATGTAGTGATAACAAATGCAAAAGGATGACTAAAAAATAATATATCAATAAGCTTTGTTGAATTATAAATTTCACAACAGCAAATTTAAATTTGTCGCTTTCCAAGAGCTTCTCCATCCATCTTCTGATTAAGAAACCATTATTAATACAGAATTTCATTAGTTTAACAAATTCTTCTGCACTTTATTTGTGCATGCAGCATTGTAAAATGGAATTCGTTACCATAATTTCAATTTTCGAAAAAATAGTTCTGTAGGATGTTGGACTGAGAGTAAGGTGATACATGTACTCGAATTAAGAACCTATGCGAAAGGTGTAAGTTGTTGAAGTATTTCTTGTTGTAAAAAAAGATTGTACATAATTCTAAATTCTCATTCGAAATTTTTCCGTAAAGTGAATTAAACATAGCGAGGATGGATAAAGTACCGATAAAAAGTTCTTTTAAAATGTATGAATTAAGGAAACGTTAGATATCCTGGAATAAGGTTTGAGCTTTATTACGAAAGAATTTAGCTTCGAAATATATTAAAAAGTTCCTTCTAAATCAAAAATATTATTAGGATTTGAAGAACACTGCACGTATTATTTGTGGAAGCGCAGCTGAAAAATTTCAACTGATACATGTATGAATCGAAATACAAATCACTGCAAAAACTTATCATTATCAGTCTTTATTATTGATCGTAATTGATCTACTTCATTTAATTCATAAAACTTCGGCAAACTTTGTCCGGATCCGCATTTATTTGTATACGTATTGTGTGCTTATCGCATAAAATGGTGTGAAACGAGATGTCCTCCAATCGAGGAAACCGAATATAGTCTGAAATTTCAATTCTACATCAGTGAAGGAATCTAAAACTTAGTTGTGCTAATCTTATATAGGAGCTATGTTCTCTGCATGATCTCAAAATGTTTTTGGAACCCAAATCACCCACTGGATCATATATTTCGACAACGAGGGTTCTTTATGGAAGGAGTGTATGTAAGGGAAATGACTTTGTTTTGGATGAAATGTCTAAAGTACAATTGTTGTCCAGTGTGATCTTGCTATGGAGAAAATTATTCAAGTGATCAACTGTTTTACCAGTTACACTGCTGTTAAATGCTTAAACTATGTTTGTTCCCAAACTTTCACAAAAATGAAATTACTTCTGTTGCCGAAATTACAAACGTCTGTAACAGCTGGTAATACTTTAAACAGGAGAACATAAAATATAAGGAGATTTATAGTGTATCGATTTTGACACATCACTCTATTTCCATCTGAAAGTTGAAAATTTATTTGTGACAGCGAAATCTCGAAAAACAATTTGCTAAAGGACGGATATCACCCCAAAATGCTTTGATATTTTATATCCAGTGTAGTAATCTTTCTAATTTTCCTAATTTTAGACTATCACGGAATGAAGAAAGATCGAGATGACGCACACATCCTTTACTTTTCTTATATGACGTAATTTTCACCACTAAAAAGTTAGTTGAAAACATTTTCAAAGGGACCATAACCTGCAAAGCTAAAAGATACTCCTTTCATTCTCTCTTTACTTCTTCCAATTCCCACCAGCTTTACTCGATTCGAAAATGAAATTCATGAGGTTCTCAACTAATTCTTAAAATAATATCACATTTGTGTAGTATGTGGAGCCTTAATTTTTAAGATTTTGACCACTGACGAAATCTCCTCTTTTGAAGAAAAAAGGGAAAGAATAAATTTTGTTTGGACAACATCAAATATCATCAACAAATTGATTATCCTAATATGCTATCCTCAGTGTAAAGAATAGGACAAAAATTATCTTGGTTAGTTAATAATTCTATCAAATGTCTAACAGATCAGCACCTACGATTCTTATGTACAAGGTAACGTTAATTGGTGTTAATGTTTTAGGGTTAAGTGACCCTAAAATCGACGAGTAAATATAAGGCACTGAAGTTAACAGTGCCTTATATTTACTCGTCGATTGAGTCGATGATCACTTATTGTAATATTAAAAATTGCACCAACAGGAGATGCAAACAATACTTTCTCGTGACGTCAGATGAAGTCATAAACGCTCCAACCCATGACGTGAACTACACGCAAAGCCTACAAGTCTTCGTAATCTGTTTGCTACTTCAGACCTGCTGACAAATTAGTTTTCACAAACGAATCATTCTCCTCCGATCCTTCTTTACTCATAAAAGAAGCAGCAAAACAGATTTCATTCAGGCTTCTTCATCAAGTTGGCCCTAAGCCAAAAAAAAAGGCTAATAAAAAGCAGTTTTTTGCGAGCTCTTTATTGCAAACGAATTGCTGTCCAAGAACCAGCTACTATAATTGCAAAGAAAATTTTAAAAAAAAAGAAAAAAAACTGTGTTCAAACAAATGAAGGAAGAAAGACTGAAAATTGAACTAGAATTTGAAATACTTTGAATTTTCGGCTAAAATTTCGAAGCCTAAAGAAAAAGGAAAAATAAATTGATGTGAAAAGGATAGGAGAAAAAGAATGAAAATGGCTTGTTATTGGAGATTTTGGTGGCTCTTAAAATAGACACTGATAAATATTAACGTTAAGGTTAAGCATTTGAAGGTGAACATCACTGGTGAGGGATGATAATCGAAAACATTTTCCCTCGTTTGACATTGCGAAGGGAACTCACCGAAAAATAATCAGAAAATGGATTTCTCTTCAAGACACGATTACTGTTTAATACTTATTCATGCAGAAGAAGGAAATATTCAATTTCCACCAATAATAAATGAAATTTTGATGCAATTTGCAATTTTTAACGAAATTTCCTGGGATGCAATTTTGTATTTTTGGATGCAGATGCGACTTTCATCCAAAAAATTACGATCCATTCATTAAATTCCTCCTAATACAGTAAGACTCAAGCTTGGGAAATATTGAGGGGTAAATTTCTCGAAATATTTCTTAACTGTTAAATGCGATTACTTGAATAGTTTTCCTGTTATTAGCCAAGTCCATCACAAAAATTTTCATAGAAAAGTTCCCTGACGAAACTAGAATAACTAAAATCTTTTAATTGTGAAAAATATTCAACAACATACAGCTTTCATTCATTTTCAGGTTTTTTTTTGATTTTGCTCAGAGGGAAGTGCGATTTTTTTTTTAAGCATGAAGCAATAGCTCCTTTCCAAAACTCTGAGGCTCATTGAATAAAAGAATTAGCGACTTTGACAATGAAATTATATGCGACAGTGAACTTTGCAAAAAACGCTTTCTCATATAGCAAACATTCAAAATCATGAATGAAGGAACAATTCGGCATTGAATTTCATTAAGTTCATGTTAATCATTCTGAAGTCAGCCACTTAGAGCTTATGATTTATTATTGGCTCGAACAGCATTGATTCCAAATGTTAACAATCTCACTGTCAACTTTCAATCAACTAGTCAACAATTGTTTTTTAATTTCCTTTATGGAAAATCTAATATCAATTTCCAAGAGTTCGGAAAAGTTAAGACAAAAAAGCAAAAAGGGAAATAAAGATTTGAAAAATTGAAAGAAGTCAGTTCGAGGAGCCAAAGGTCAAAGTCAAAGTCGTTAAACGTTATTACCTCAGTTGTTAGCTGTAGTTACCTTTATTTAGACTAACCAATGAACTCAAAAATAATATTAATAAATATTTTCAAACAGTTTCATTAAACACGCGAGTTATCAGCTTTGTTCATTAATCGTATGATACATTATATAATCCCAAGTGAAATGAGGTTCACATAATATGTTATGCTTTATTTTTATTCTTGACAGTGGGTACAGTATTTTCTCATACTTCCTCGATTTCTACCAAACAATATTGGTAATATTTTCAATTAAACAGTTTCATTGGGGATATTTTACTGGGATATTTCAGATGTCTACACCGATTTCTCTCAATCCTTTCTAGCCTTTTTCTGAAGTACTTTGATATTTGAATTTAATTCCACAAATCAAAGATATAATGGGTTTCAAATTGAGAACGATTGCTACTCGAAATTAAACGAATTCAGGGTATGAATAAAAAATTAAATTGAAAATTCCAGGAAATGAGGTGAAAAAAGGAATTTTTAGAAAAAATTAATCATATGGATTTTAAATTGAAATTGAAGTTGATTTTGTACATTAGATTATGGAAATTCATCTCTTTTAATTTCGATTTAAAAAGACCGATTGTACAACAGGCGTGGATAACTTTTAGCTTTTTCAGTTTTTCCAAAAATTAAAAATGTTATTTTTTTTAATTTCTAGAAGAATTTTTTTTTAAATTTCTTGGAAAGAATTTAAAAAGTTGGCATTAAAAAAGTTGATTGTTATAGGCATTCAAGACTATAGAATGCCTGAAAGATCAATTTGATCGGGATCAATAAAAAGACAATAAAATAGCCAATAATGACTTAATAAATTTTAAAATAATGGACCATATTTTGAAATGTGACAGATATAATACACTAAGTTGAAGATTTCCAACAAAGTATTCAAGGTAATTTGAAACTTCAGAACTAAATAAAAGACATTTAAAAAAAACCGAAATTAATTTGGCAATATTATTTGACAAAATGAAAACAGATTGAGAGAATAAATGACGTATCAGCTAAAATCCAAATTTTGGTTAGAAGGCAACAATATTATTCATCAAATTACTTTTTTTAAAGAGTTCAAAAAAAGTTATTAAAATTTTTATGAAACGAAAGATCAGAGACTAAACAATCGAATAAAGCTGAAAAGCAAACTGTATTTGTTGCAGGTGAATAATAGGAAAGTGTATGATTCATTATCATAAAAGATAATATTCCATAATACTTCCAATAATTTTACCGTATTTTCGTTGGTAAACACGACAAAGTAGTTTTTGATTAATTAAATTTGACGTTTGTAAGATTTGACTCCATCGTATATTAAACACAACAAAAGTAATCAGATATAATTACTTCGAAATTTAGATTTTCCAAAATTTGAAAGATCAATGAATAAAGTAAAGGTAATGTATGTCATTCGAACAAATGGTTATGGTAAGTTTCAGATGATCAACATCGAAAATGGTATTTCAAGAAAATTCTTCGTCATCCTTAATTAATGTAATTATAGTAATATAACTCACCAAAATTTTAAATCAAATTTAAAATGAATACGGAATTATCAAGTGTAAAAATAAATTGGCCCTCTGCTTCAGGTGGGCAACCTTACTATAAATGTTAATTAATAAGAAAGCAGTGGAATTTAGAAAGGAACACTGTTTTACATGAAAGAACTGATGGAAGTTAATCGGAAGAACAGTGTAGATCAGAGATAGTGCATAAAGATTTAGAGGTTAATATTTAGAATGACTTTTTATTTTCTTAACTTTTACTAAGAAAGTGAAAATCAAATTTGCTAAATTTTCTGCTTCATTTTAAAGGTAATTTTCTACCAAAATTTGCATGCTTCAATATTTTATTGTTATTTTTAATGTAAGAATTGATATAATCACTACAGTTTTTTACGTTAACTCAAGCAGTTCAGTTGCCTTAAATCAATAAAGTAGAGAATTTTGGGGACAAAGAATTGATTTTGTCAGAAAAAGAAAAAAGAGAATCCAAAGTTTGTCATTCTTTTTCTTTTTTACTGTTTTATTAATACATACATTTGTGACATATGCTTCGGTGATACATTGATAAAGCTGAAGCATGAATAAGCCAAGAGAAAACTTGGAAATCAATTCCAATTATGCTATAAAGTTATGATACGTTTAAGCTCTTAATTAAAGATTGTAATTGAAAACTATGGAGGAAATTAAAGGATGAAGAATGAAGTGCGAACTACTGTGATAGTATCGGTAGTAATGATCGGAGTATTAGCTGTGGCTGGAATTATCGGTTATATGATAATGAAACGTCGAAGAAAGAGAATGGAAGAAATAGAAACGGTTGATTACTTTTGATGCTTCCTTTATCTTTTTTTACCGTTTGTAAAAAGAAAATTGATAGCTTATAAATATTCCCATTGATTGACACCTTACTTTGACAAAGCCGCTGTACAAGCTAAAAACGCTTCTGCAGTATGAAATCGTGAAGACTAATTTTGTTGTATTATATTAGGATGGGTTTTTTAGGCACAAGGATATGAAGCATTGCAGAAATATCTTGAAACGCGTGTTGAAATTGTAATGTTTTCTTTTTTAAATATTTTAGGGAAGAATTTTGTAAAATAATAGTCATTTTGAATGTTATCTTGAAATATTATATTTGAAAATCAAAATTTTTATCATGGCATAAGTAAATTCTTTAGGATCAAGAGACAGCGGATGTAAACATGAGCCCTAAATTGAGCCAAAAGCTAATGTCGACAAGGTCACGTCACCGAAAAGAACGTAGCAGTCTACCTTTAAATTCGAGAAGGTTAGATTGAATCTTAACAGTGAAGTTAAGTTGAGATTTTTCTCTTCCAAAGTATTATGTAACCTCAAATAAAGCTAACATCTCTTGTTCTTTAAACATATCACTTCTTTTGTTCCAGTATTTTGCTTTCTTCAGAATTCGATTCAATAAATTCCAAGGTTCGGGACAACAAAGCACTAATACTCATATCAATGATATAGTAGGTAGGTCCACCATTTCGATAAATGAATCAAACTGTTCAGCTATTTCAAAGCAGGCTAGACTCTGACATTTTTAGTTGCTTCACATTTTAAGAAATTTTTCATGCAAAATTGATTGTTTCAACAATATCAGCAACTTCCGATACTATTGATGCGACATGCCATTTACTGATAGCTTACTTCGGGTAAGTCACTGCAAATAACTGTGTTGCCTTGATCTGCAAGGAGCTTAGGGATAAGTCTATCAGATGGCATGTGTTGAAGGAACTTAAAAATTAAATGATACGGTAATTTAGTTTGCGAAATTACTATACGATAGATTCTGTTAGAACTTTTTGTCAATTTATTTTTAATCGTTTCATCCCATCAAATTCTGAAGCAATAGGAGAGGTAATGAATCTGGTATGTAAATTGATATAAGCGATGTTTCCATACATGACATTTTGAGTTGATACACTTT